GTATGTCGACGCCAGGTTGTTTATGCTGGTCAGCGTGGAGGGATGGTCCGCTCCCAGCTTCTTCTTGTGAGTCTCCATCACTTGCACCTCTAGCATCTCCGCGTCGTCCCATCGGCCTCCAAGTTTATATACTAATCCAACCATTGCTACACTCCGTAGCGTGTCCTCATGCTCCTCCCCTAGCACCTTCTGCCGCGTCTTTAGCGACGCCATGGCTAGCTCCCTCGCCTCCGCTACGTTGCCCCGCTGCTCTGCATACCATGCGGCGTGATATAGCAGAGCAGCCCACTCAATCAAAACCCGCTCGTCCTTGGGCCGCTGCTCTGCAGCCGCTTTGACATGCGCGAAAAGAGGTCCGCACACTGCCCAGTTCTCGTATGCGCCTGTTGGAAACGCTGCATTGAGCTTGCCGATGAACTGCTGCTTCCACCGCTCCAGCCTGCTGTTTGCTGCTAGCCACGTGCGTGTCGCGAGCTGCACAAGCGCATGCATTTCGAAGCTGGTGCCTCCTATCTCGTCTGAGACAAAGCAGAAGTTGCGCAAAGCTACCACATCGTCTTCAAAAGTATCCTCGTCACTCTCAACACTCGTGCTAGACTGTGATACATCGTCCTCCTCTACGTCGATATCGGCGACTCTTGTCGGCCCTTGCTGGTCGCCATCATTGTTCTCCTGCTTGCCTCGATGTCGCAGGAGCTCCTCAGGTATCCCCTGCCGATCGAAGAAGCTCATCAGCGACAGTAACTCGGCCGCCGACGGCCGCGTCTGCTGTATGTACTCGAACGAGATCTGCCACGTCACGATGATCGAGTTCGTCGCCTCCCAGTCTCGCCGCAGCTGTCCGTCGTCGAACTTGAGAAGGCTTGTTCGCTTTCGCTCATTCTTCCTGTAATCGTCCAAGTATCTCACAACTGAGTATCGGGGTGATCTCTGCAAGATGTACGCTGCTGCTTGCACGATAGCTAGCGGCATGTACTCTAACGCTGTAGCTAGCTCAGCGATACTGCTACTATCGGCCTGCGTTCCTAGCTTCTTGTGCAAAAGCGCCCGCGCACTATACATATCCATTGGCCTTATAGCAACAATGTCGCGCAGCTCCACTAGCTTCAGGGCTGCTTCTTTATTACGTGTTGTGACAAGCACCGACCCGCGATCGCAGTGCGGAATGTACCCGCGCAACGGTCGGGCCCCCGTCTTCGGGTTCCCAGCTGGGCGCTCGACCAAAAAGCCGGCATCGTCGACGTTGTCTAGCACGAGCAGCCATCGATGCTTGCACCCTTGTAGCCAGTCGTGCACTAACTTAAAGATGTTCGCCTGCGGGTCCTGCCGTCCAGCGAGCTTGACCCGGTCGGCGATGTCGCGGTAGCTCTGCTCGAACCGGGCGGCGTTGCTGGCATGCGCCCAGAACACCCACGTCTCAGGCGACTGCGCATGGGTGCGGTAGGCATGCTCGATGGCGAGCTGCGACTTGCTTTTTGGTTGTCAGTGTTCGGTGCTGCTGAGGCTGACCCGTACGCTACCCACCCAACGCCACCGAGGCCGACGAGCGCCGTCCATGAGTTTGACGCAGTGCATCTTGTTCGAAGGTCTTCGAGTATCGTTCCCCGTTCGACAAAGTCATCATCGCACCCAAACGGTATCACGATCGATGGCTCAGGTGGTGTCTCTGGTTGTGCTAAAGCGGGGCTATGGTTAGCGCTTGCTTGGACCTTGCGAACCTCAAATCCTTCCGTAACCTACCGGTAGCGTAATAGAATGACGCTTGGACCGGGCCATTGATGGTGCCCGCCTGGAAGCCATTATTGTCGTCGCCGAAGGCTATTCCAGAGTTCATGGCGTAGGCTGGAGTAGGAGAGTGATAGTGTCTTTGAGCAAGCTTCAGCTCGGCTGAGAAGTGGTGCAGCCTGGCGGTAAGCCTTGTGTCCTGGTCATTCAGGCATCCCGATCTGCCGTCTTTCTCAGTTCTCGCCCGGTGAAGCGTAGACAGTGAACCTAGCTAACAACTTGTGCAGCGATGCTATCAAAAACCTACAAAGCTTGCATTCTTATCTCCATGCTGGCCAGGTAGGAAACTAGATCGAAGCGTTCTCTATATTTTGTACAGGTTCGCCGAGCAGAGACTGCAGCAATGTGACGCGTCCCAGATCGAGCTCTTCACAGATGGAACATTGGCAGAAGTAAGCAACGAGGAGTCCAGATGCGCGAGAGCTAGTGTTGACGCACTTGTAAACGATCACGACTAACGATGCAGAGATACGCAGGTGGTCAATATGCCTAGAGCTGGCACAACGCTTTATTGTCGCTGAGCAGCCGCGCCTACGAAACATCATCTGCAAGTCTAGTGCTCCCCGCGCTCATTGTACGCTATTCTATACAGCTCAGCCCATCTTGGAATGTCACTTATAAAACGACGTGCTACGCCCATCTTCACACCTTGCTGGATGTAGAAATCAGTATCCTGGTCCTCATACACTTGCTCCAGATCGAGCATTTCCTGCAAGGTAGCATCACAGGCTTTTGTATATTCGACCTTCTGCGCCTCGTTAACAACGTTCGACCGCTGCCACTCGCTGTAGGCCACAACAGCCACATCACGAGGCCCAGGTATGTTGACGCTGGCGCGATCTGAGTGAAGCTTCCCAGAGATTGGGGTATCGCTTGTCAATGGCGTCGACGGGGACCTGTTAGATGGAGACGGCATCACATTTGTGATGGTGATGGGTGGGAAGCCTGGCGTGGCTGCGCTGGCGGCCGTAGACCGTCGCTCGTGCCGCTGCTGTTCCTCGGCGTACAGCTGGCTGCGGACCTCGTCAGGCACAGCGTCGTGGCTGTCCAAGACGTAGCCCTGCTGAACAAGCCCGATCAGGGTCTTGAGATGGTGGGTCCGTAGCCTGTAGTGCTTCTTACCGAAGGGATCGCGCCAGCAGTGAGGACCCAGATTGCATGGCGGTCCGGGGCACCGCATCAAAGCATACACGTCTCGCCAGACGGACGAGGCCCCGCTGGACTGCTCTGCATCGAGCTGGCTTGCCCGATCAGCGAGCATCCTCTGCGTAGCTGACGAGCCTCTTGCTTGTCCTCGACTCGTGTTTGCCAACGTGGTCGGCGCAGGCTCTGTGTAGTTAAAAGAGAGGTCAACCCTGAGCTTCTTACCCGAACGGAAGAGCTCAGCCCACCGCAGCAGCTGTCTCTCGACCACGGACCAGTCGATGTGCAAATCATCATACCGTTTGCACAGGTCACGCTCAGAGCGGTCGTTGACAGACGCCACGACACTAGTATCGTCATATTCCGCTTGTCTGCCCTGCGACAGCTTCTTAGCCATGAGTTTCTCTACTTTCTGCTGCAGATACAGGCGCCAGTACACAGCAGGCGCCAGGACGATGTCTTGTTCGGTGTCCTTGGAGACGACCTTGTTGTTGATAGCTACCTTCCACTCGATCGTGTAGCGGAGGCGGCTCGGCACCACCTCGTCGTAGCTGTTGTACTCGTCCCACTCGGCCAGCGGGAGGAAGCTCAGCGTAGACCGTTCCGGCGTTCTCGCCTCGTTGCTAGCTTCCACGTGCTGACGTCGCGTCGATCGGCTTGCGACGGTGTCACACAAGGGAGAGAGCGCCTCAAACTCCAGCAGTCCATAATCTCGGGCGGACGGTGCGTCGCTGAGCGTGTCGTACCGCTGCGTTGCATCGATAGCGAGGCTTTCGTCGCGAAAGAAAGAGCTCATGGCTGTACACCGGTCGAGTAGGCCAACGTGGGCGGATGAGCTCCACTAGGTTACATACAATGAAGCTGAGTGCAAGATGCGTGTAGAGCCGTGTTTAGTATCGCTTGAACGTAGCGACGGAGGACGAGGCACAACGTTGAACGCACACCTACCTGCGCGGGGAAGAGAGCCGTGAGGAAGCTCATGGAACCACTTGTCTTTGACTAGCCCCTTGCGCTCACGACCGCCGATTGCTGAGGGGTGGTAAAAAGGCATGCGTGAGATGACTATCATGGTCATGACATGCAATCTGGCGGGGCAGTGCGAGAATACGGTAGAGTAACTCCCATCTTGTGGATTGTTTTAGGAGCAAAGGACCTTGGAAGAGGTGTGCCGGCGTACCGTAGCAGTAGATCACTTATAATGAATCGTGATTTGTAGGGGCGTCAGGGAGCACTTTATGGCGGCATGCAGGCAGGTGTTGGCTCTGCAACCCTGTAAGCACTTCTGCATTAGGTATAGTCAGTGCAACAGGCCAAGAACTGGCGCTTGCGCGACAAGAACAGGCCAGTTTCTCGCGACGCAGAGGAACTCGCTGTCGGCAGCTGTGAGCTCGCATCGAACAGAATGGCGCCGAATCTAGCTGCCTCGCAGCGCGAGATGATCTACGACATGATTGTTAGTGAAGAGCTCACTGCTACACAGATGTCTAAAGCTGCCGACTGCAGTGTTCGTGCCGTCAAGTACATTCGCTCTAACATGCGCTGCTTCGGCACCGTCAGGGCGCCTTACAACGGCGGCGGACGCCCTCGGTCCATCACGCCGCCGATGCTCGAAGCCGTCCGCGAACATCTTCTCGAGAAGCCCGATCGATACCTAGATGAGCTCGTGGTTTTCCTATGGGATGAGTTCGAGGCAACAGTCACGGCATCTACCATCAGCAGGGCCCTGAAGTCTGCGGGCTGGTCGAAGAAGGCGTGTCGGCGAGTGGCTAGCGGGCGCAACGCAGACCTGCGGGACGTATACCTGAACAATCTGTCCTCTTTCCGCTCTTACCACCTCGTGTATGTGGATGAGTCGGGGTGTGACAAACGCATCGGCTTCAGGCGGACAGGGTGGTCGCCTCTCGGCACGACACCTGTGCAGATAGCCAGGTACCGGCGCGAACAGCGGTGGCAGATACTGCCGGCGTACACCCAGGACGGCATTCTGCTATCGCGCGTGTTCCAGGGCTCGACCGACGGAGCCGTCTTCGAAGACTACATCGAGCAGCTGCTCCAGCACTGCGGCAGGTGGCCGGAGCCCAACTCGGTGCTTGTGATGGACAATGCGTCTTTCCACTACACCGAACGGATCGAGCAGATGTGTGCTGATGCAGGTGTGAAGCTCATGTACCTACCGCCGTACTCGCCTGACCTGAATCCAATCGAGGAATTCTTCGCTGAACTCAAGGCATTTATCAAGCGCAGCTGGAGCACATATGAGGAAGACCGAGCACAAGGGTTCGATGTATTCCTAGAGTGGTGTGTGAACCAAGTAGGGAGCCGGACGCAGAGCGCGCGAGGTCATTTCAGGCATTCTGGGTGGATCATCGATGAGGCATAGATGCATCCTGCATGTGTATGGAATCATGACAACTCCCTCTCTAGACCATATACTATTGGTTTCCTTTGGATAAACCCTCCTCAATTACAACCCAACACGTACTATCTCCTTCCAAACACAGCCCCGTGAACTCCACCATTAATAACTCCAGCTTGTTGACCAGAGTTCCCACTGCCAAATGTAATGTTTGATGCATGCGTTGCAGGTTGCTCCGAAGGCAAACTCGCAGTTTTACTGCTGTCCGTGACTTCTATAGCAGGAAGCATTGATAATAGCCCTTTTGCACATGCCGCCGCAGTTGCCGCCGCATAGTTCTGCCAGCCCTTGTTCTTGTGAGAGTCTGCATAGTCGCAAATGCCTCGAATCACGACGCACGGATACTCTTCCATTACGCCTGCAGCCTCCATCTCGAAGCATATCGCATCATGTTCTAGCTGGACCCTGTTCCGTTCTCGAGCAGATATCTGTAACTGGTTGCTTGAGGCAATGTTGCCAAAGTGGACAAGCGGCTCATCGAGCAACCGTGTGGCTCCGTCTCCTCGCTCAGACCGCGAGATGGTCTGATCTGCATCGCAACAGTCTTTGCAATCGTCGAGCTCAGTGCCTCGGTGATTGTATTCGTCCTCGAACAGTCTGTCGCGGGTGGGGCCGGGATCGTCAAACTGGTGCTGTCGCTTTTCATCAAGCTTGAGGCGCATCTGTTTCAACCTCCCTGGAATGTTTGTTTTAGACCAGCCTTCTGCTCTGAAGTTGTTCAAAGCAGCCAGAAGATCTCCCGGCACGCCGTTCGTGTGTCCGCGGAAGTTGAGGCGTCCCTCGCCTTGCCAAGCACCCTTATCGTACTGCAGTACCCCGCCATGGTTGCCTCGAGGGGAGCTAACCACCACGTCTCCCAGAACGATTTCAGAGGAAGCACCCGTCGGCCCGTAGCGCGGAACACCGCCAGCGATACCGACTAAGACAAGGTACTTGATGTTAGGAAAGCCAACGCGCATCTTCTCGGCAAGTACCGCGGCTCCGTTTAATCCGATCTTGCGCTGCACCCCAATAACGACCTTGTGTTGTCCAATGCGGCCGCCTAGGTAGAAGGTGTTTTCGTGCTGTACGTCTTCTTGTGGGTATTCCTCGTCTAGCACGAGTCTGGCGGCTTCTTTCTCCAGGGGTAGCGGGGAGATCCACCCGATAGTGAATTGTTGGTTCCTAGCCATCTTAAGATGAATATACTTCTAATGTTGATGATCGTGAGTGAAGATTAGAGGAGAAGTGAGGGGAGGATTAGGCAGCCGTGTAAGAAAGGCAAAGCTAATATAGCATTTAGTAATCTGCCTTAACTGGCTTAGCCTTCTCTAGCCTTGCTCAGTGATACAGCCTTTCAGACGTGATTAAGCTGCAGAGAATCTAACCTGGTATCCTTGCAGGAAACCTAACGTGCGTCCATCTCTTACGAAACACCCATCGTACCGAAACGATTCCTCGGTACATCGACTTTAGGGCCTGATAAAGCCTACCATCTTGATTGCCCAAGAGCGAGACTCTGTAATAAAGGATTTCAATATCTTCTCTACCGATCTGATCTAAGCTGTCACAAAATTACAATTGTTGAGGTACCTCCCGCCCTTCGCGAAAAAGGTATACCTTCGTAGGCGAGATCAATCACAATGAGCTATAGGGCCAACATTATATTACTGTGAGTTTTTCAATGGCTAGACCTTCTCTTTACTGTCCCAAGAACATAGTTTCTGCACACAAGGTCGATCCCGGTGATAATACTGCAGCTGGTACGCAATTTATGCGGATCGCCACACCTGGTTGGTACTTCAGAGAATAATCAACCAATTAGAGCATTCAATGGCACTGCTTACATCTCGTAATTTATATTACCTAAACATTCGGCAAGAGGCTAATGGCATGTGGCCGTTAGGCTTCCCCACTGGTCAGCCCTGCGTGCCGAAACAAAGACCACGTGCCCGTGCGAAGACTATGTACCGTTATAGTAAAAGCGTGGCGCCACGGACCCAGCCAATAGACGACCTCTATGCGCCAAACAGCCTCCAAACCAGATAACATTACTATTATCATAGGCTACAATTGTTGTCACAGCTTTGCTTCCATAATGTACATTCGTAGATACTTACAAGCGCATGTCTTTAAATCTGTTACATAACTCCACGTCTGCCTACTCTCCTTCCCATCGCTCCAAGACTCGCAGGGAAGACAAGTAGCGCGGGTGACTAGCTCCTAGCACTTGTTCACACCGTTGTACACACTGCTGCATTAGACATATAGCTTTTATAGTCTGGCCGAGTGATTTCCATGTGAAAGCCAGGTTGTTCATGCTGGCCAGCGTGTCTGGATGGTCTGCTCCGAGCTTCGTCTTGC